CCCCACCCTTCATCCAGCTGCATCCTGGGCCCCCACCCTTCATCCAGCTGCATCCTGGGCCCCCACCCTTCATCCAGCTGCATCCTCTGCTGACGTCACTGAACGGGACTTATGACCTGGACCTGAGGTCTCGGCTCACCTGGTCGACTTGGCGTCCCTCTTTACGGCGTTGAGGTGGAAGAGAGACGGCGCCAGGCAGACGGCGATGTTGGTGGGAGTCATCTGGTTCTGGGCCACACGGGTCACGTCCCGCAAGAAGAGCAGCAGCGTCCGCAGCGCCGCTCGGTTCTCCTCTGGAAGCAGCAAAATGGCCGCCTGAGCTGCAACCAGCTGCTGATCCTTCGGAAGATCTGAGGAAAACACCAAGTTTAAACTGTCGTAAAGAAAAAGGTGAGGAATGAGCCCAGAACTACACGGAGGAGCTGGTCCATGACCTGAAGAGAGCTGGCACCACTGTTTCCATGGTTACTGTGGGTATACACTAAGACGTCATAGTTTAAAATCATGCATGGCACGAAGGTTCCCTGATTAAATCATGAATTGAACCCCCAACTCTTGCACTGGAGGCCCATTACACACGGTACAATAACACGTGACATGTCACCATACACGCCTGTCTATAGTGTTGCATGATCAGTCGTGTTTGGTAAGTTCTTGATGTTTGTATCATCATACTGATGACCAGTTTGATTCCCACTGCACTCCCAGTAAGAACCAGTCCCACTGTTTCTGCTTACATTGGTAAATGTGGAGGAACGTCTCGCAGAGTTTGTTGGTGAAGACGGGTTCAGGCAGGTCCCTGAAGAACTGCTTCACCATGTCAGCCACGTCGAAGGCCGACTGACCCCCGTACGAAACCCCGTCCGGGTCGGACTCCACCATTTCACGGAGGAACTGGATCCGAGACTTCACACCGGACTTACGGAAAAGACCCACCTGCCAGACGGCACATTGAAAATGTTAAACTCAAGTTCCTCGTGTGCCACGATCGCTGTGGACACGCTGCAGAACAAAGTGTTTACTGGTTTCCAGTAACCTCGTTTGGCAGCAAAGATTTTTCTAAAAGAATAGTTACTCACATTCTCGTGCTGTTAATCTAAGTTTTTCATTCAACCTTTATTTCTACAGGTTAATCCCACTGAGCCTCCAGGACTCGTTTACAAGAGACACCTGGTCTTTAATTCCACAGAATACTTTCTTCTCAACCTACGACGACTAACATTGATTTATTTGACCGGGTCCCATCAGTGTCTTCCCTTCAGGGGGCGGAGTTACCTGGTGCAAGCACTCGGTCCTCAGGTAGCGCAGGGCTCTGAGGATGCTGGGAGGCAGTGGTTCTCCAGTCTGCTGACTGGTGACCAGTAGAGGAACCCCAAACACCCGGCGGCCTTTCTCCTCGAGCGCCTTGCTCTTCCTCTGAGTCTTTGGAACCGTCCTGAAAGATCAGCAGGGCCCTCAGACGTGTAAGAAGTAATTAACAGCTCGTACATGCACAGAGGGAAAAGCTTTGAAAAATCAGTGTGTACACAGAAGCTGCTCTGGGAATTAGTAATCTCAACAAGCGTTAAAAAAAGCTTCTCTTGGCTGCCGTCACGTCCATTTTCTTTGAAGTAAAAGCCAAATAAACATTTTTGGATCTCACAAATCCCCGATGGTCCCTGAAATGTGCGTGGACGCTCATCAAACAGAGTACAGTCCACGTTTGAGAGTGACGCTGCAGAAAACAACCAGGAACAAAAAGGCTTTTCTCTCCAGGACTCGTTACAAATCACAACGTCTGAAGTCTAAATTATATCAAGTTCACGCTCAGTGCTGTTCAGCGTTCCTTTAAATCCCTCCGGTTGTTCCGTGAAGTCTCAGAGTGCCCCCCCCGTGCCCCCCCCCCCCCCCCGATCAGACGTTAATCGCTGCGTTCTAATCACGAAGCGCCGCTTTAGGACCAGTGATCACATTATTGAAGCGATACTTCACTGGAGCGCTGAATCTTTTTATTAATTTCTAACATTATTTTACGAGTGCTGAACGGACAGCTTTTACAGTTACAGTTCCGTTTTTACTTTTTAAGAACTAACTTTGTTCGTTAACGCTAAAATCTTTATACGTTTTTTTGAAGAAACGTTTCTTGAATCCAACGTTTGTCGGTTTCTGTTTTGATTTGCAGTTTTTCTACACGACAGACTCAAGAAGTTTTATTTATTGTGTTTAAAGAGAAAGAGCTTAACCCCCGTGTTTCCATCACACAAGCAGGGCGCCCTGCAACAACGTGCACACAAATCATCTTAAAATACATTTAACAAGTAAAAGTTTACAAAAGGACTGGAGGGTGTCGTCTGAATTCTACGATGATTTTAAAAAGCTTCTCATTTCTTCTGTCAGCTTTTGTGATTAAAACACATTCAGCACCGTCTGTTTAAAACAAAGCGTTAATAATCCTCTAGTCGGGATTATTTGAACAGAGACGGTGTACAAAGTGAGATTATACCTGAACATGGACTTCTTGCTAACTGCTAATTTACGGTGCTTCATTACAGAAGATTTACATAAATTTTCCATTTCAGTCTCCTAAAAAACACAAAACACATTTTTCAAAAACAGAAAAAATATTGATATTTACTTATTTACTTGTAGAAAATAATTATTTTAAGCGGAGAGAAGCTAACGGTGTCTAGCCTAGCTTCAGGTTGTTGTGCTAAGCTAATTTAGCCACCAACAGACATTTTTATAAAACAATAAAAATACAAGTGTTGTCAAATTTGAATTGTTATTCTTGTTTTTAAACATTACAAACAAAATATCTACAATGAATATAACTATACATTTAAATATAAAACTGAAGTAGAATTAGCATGTTAGCTGGAATAACTGCAGGTTTTTTACTTAAATGTGCAGTTTTTATTTTCATGTAAGAAATTTATCAAGTTAGAGACTTAATTCTGCTTGAAGTTAAAATTGTATGACTGAATAGATCATTTAGCTTTCCCACCATTCCCAGTACTGGTGCCAAGTCCTTCCAATAGCGTCGCAGCATAAAAACAAATGTCAATCATTTTCATCGTCATGAATAAAAATAATATATAAACTCTTTGTTGGTATCAAATAAGGTAAAATGTTGATAATTTAACACGTTAATGCCAGAACATTTTGGAGGGAAAGACAGAAGAACGTGTCCTCGCTGCGTCGTTCGATAGTTCAGTCTGAGCAGAAGAAACTAAATGTTCACGTCCTTCGTGTGAACAGAATTCATCTGCGCTTCACTTTGAACACATTTGAATTTCAACAGTCCGTGTTTTCTTCCAACTGCTGTAAAAGACATAAACAGAGCTGATTTCTCCCCAAAGCGTTGTTTTAATAAAGTTTGACACTAGAGAAGTTTAAACGCTTCAAACTGACTGAAAGGAGGAGAGTCTGTTATTTTTCCTTCAATGAATCTTAAAAAAACTAAAAGTCTGATCCTGAAATTAAAGTGAAAACTACGAGGAGTCGTTTCTGTTCAAACGCTTCTTTCCCTCGTTGAGCACAACACCCTGTGCAAAAACCTAATTGGTTTTCTACCAAAGCGTAAAACGAGCATTTCACGTGTTTACACGAGTGTTCAGCAAAGTAAACAAGCTGCGTGTTTGTTGTCTTTTAATATGATTAAAACTTGGGCTTCATTTGCCTCACGCTGCACGAAGGCTTAAACTAAACCCTGTGTGGAGCAAAACCCTGATCTACTTAATCCAGAGGTCGTGTCAGGTACATGCAGCACAGACAGGAAGGAGCTGCTGCTGCTGCAGCTGCTGCTGTAGCTGTTGCTGCTGTAGCTGCTGCTGCTGCTGTAGCTGCTGCTGCTGCTGTAGCTGCTGCTGCTGTAGCTGCTGCTGCTGTAGCTGC